CTCTCTCTCTCTCACACACACACACACACACACACACACATAATCACAAAGATAAATACATTTGTACTACACGTACAAACATTATACCCCCCACCCAAACCAGGGCAGTGCTACTGACTGAAGTGTCTTTAGTCCATTCCCAAAGGGTGGATATTAACGTCATGTTTTTATTCACTGCTGAATTGTAAATGGGCTGATTTATCAATGTCATGCTCATACTGTGCCGGAACAACAAGGGGGAATTGCTGCTTTTTCTTTCCTCGTCTTTACTATCGTCCTTTTCCCTCTACTTCTTCTGTATGTTTGTCACTCTCTTGTGAACTGCTATTTCCGGGATGCCTTGATAGTTGAAGCAGACTTTGTGCAAAAGAGGCGAGAGAGGTGAGCAGAGTAAGCCTGATTCCCCGTTTGGACTTCTCTGTTGACACCCAGCCATTGGCGCTCATATGACTTTATGCAGTTGCGAGCACCGTAAATCCTTACTAAACATAAACTAAACAGTCTGTCTGTCTGTCTGTCTGTCTGTCTGTCTGTCTGTCTGTCTGTCTCTCTCTCTCTCTCTCTCCCTCCCTCCCTCCCTCTCTGTTCTGCGTCATTTGGTGTTCGGGGCTCATAAAAACAAAATAATAATTTTTGAAAAATGATATAATTTAATGGTGTTTTTAATTGTTTTTACATATCTGGGAAAACATTTAATGGCTGTTGTACCAGTATGGGATCTTATAATTACCCAACAAGCGCCAACAAACAACCGGCTGGCCTTTGTTGTATAACGGTTTGCTTTGGTGTGGTTTGCTCCTTCTTTTCTATTTTAAAAAAAAACCATCTATCGTCCCTACCTCCCCTACTTTTTTTGTGTGTTTGTCACTCTCTTGTAACACATCTAGTCTTCGGCACTTATATGGCCTCATTGTGTTGCAAGTGCCGTAAAACTCTTACTAAAACAAATAAAACAGGAGGAGACCCCAAGTTTGGTTCCCGGCTGGGGCGAATTTGTATCAAGATCTGGGTCTCTTTCTGTTAATAATAAAATAATAAATTAATAAAAAGCATTTGTATAGCGCATAACCCCGTTCTTCAGCTAGCTCAATGCACTATATTATTACCCCAGTAGACCATAGAACACTCAGAAACAATTTCACTCAGCTTCCCAGGAAGCATACAGTGCAAGCAGCTGATTAAGCGCTCAAACATTAACAAACTGACGTGACCTTTCACTGCTGTGATATTGTATCCATCTCAGCCCGGTGGGGCCTCCTAAAGGATTGAAACTGTGGATTGGGGTGTAATAGACCTGCTTTAAGAAATAACAAGAAGCAACCCCCAAATTGACAACCTCTATAAGTTTGCGACTGAAGTGTTTTATACAAGAAAAATTGTCCAATGAATGAAGGTTGTCACAATACGCTTTTGTCAACTGTAACCATTTACACTGGGTTTACTGCTTTATTCCATGTTCACGTTTTGTTTTAAAAAAGCACTTAGACTTAGTTTTGTTATGAAATAGGATGTAAACATGGAGAGGGTGGGGTCAAAATTTCCAATTCACCCCAATAGTTATTTCTTCAATGATGTAATCGATCCAGCAACGGTTATTTCTTCAAAGGTTTTGTTTGTTCTGTTTCGCGATGTCATTAAAATGTGTTGTCGTTGTTGTTTTAAGATGCATTCCTTTATCGGGAGATTGATTCAGACGTTATTGAGACCAGACTAGCATCTTGGGGCTGCACACAATGACACAGTCAGCCAGCTGTTCAGATGTTCTATAAGCTCAAAATTATGAAATATAGTTTCTTAATGTGTGGCACTGGTTGCATGTGCTAGATAATCATCTTTTGTCTGGATTCACAATCTTAGAGTTGAAAAAAAAAAGCGAACATACCCCCCCCCCCCAAGAAATTATACATAACGTATGTACCTGTAACATTCTTAAAAGAATCAAACGAAGGTTTTTATTGGGTGGTGGGAGTTTCTTTTTTTGTTGTTGCTTGTTTGCTGTTGTTGTTTTTTGTTGTTGTTTTGTTTTGTTTTTGTTTTTTGGGGTTTTTTGTTGTGTTTTTTTTTGTTTGGGTTGTTTGTTTGTTGGTTTTTTTGTTGGGTTTTTTTTTTTTTTTTGGTGTTGTTGTTTCGGTCTCCTGAAAAGTGAAGCGTTCTAGGCTTACAATGGTTGAACAGCTTGCCTACGGTATGGACATAAGCGTGTTTCAGAATCGGCCTTTAAGTTTATGTTAAATTTTATGGTAATGAATTTGGCTTGTTCATGTGTGCTGTGTGGCTGAAACAATAGGCCGAGGTGTATAGCGACATTGTCAGGCTTTACACACTGCTGCATGCAAAAGACCAAGCCCCAGCGACCTCTTACTATTCCTGCTTGGAATAGAATAATAAATGAATTCCACTTTACTGATCTATTCGGGAAATTTGTTTTACAAAGGTGTTCAATATAGTATTGCTGTCTTTCACACTACCCCCCCCCCCTCTTTTTTAGATTTGATAGATAGTGTGATGTAGTCTCGGTAAGTATAGGCCGAAGGGCTAGAACCCTCAGCCCAGATGGCCGCTGGATCGGAAAATTTCAGTAAGTATCATGCCTGGCTGGAGCAGGAGGCCCTTGTTTGATTCCTTAGAGAGAGAGAGAGAGAGAGAGATAGGGGGGGGGGGGGGGGGGGGGAGAGGGAGAGAGAGAGAGAGACTCACCGGAATTTTAGTAGCTCAGAAGTTTTGGTGACCCTCCGACCACTTGGCTTTTTCCTATTGAATATGTGGGTTGAGAGGACACCACTGGTAGGTCCTACTTCTTTCCTTTTCTTCTGTTGTTTCTGTCTATCTGTCTCACTTTTTCTCAGCACTAAATGACCATAACTATGTCGATGTGCTTCTCTTTACTCAATCAAACAAACGAACAATTGGATGATATGGACTTTACATTGTTTTCTAAAATTATTGAACTGCGCTGAGCAGGATTTGGAAACGCATACCAAACACAGCGAGTTATCCCGTTGTATCTTGTAAATGAATGTTTATCACCGCTACTAAGAGTGGCGGTCGACTTCTTATCCGGTTGATAATAACTAACCTGTGACCTTATGCTGGCTGTGTAGACCAGCTGTAGCCTTTATTTGTGGTGTG